GGTCTTAAATTGTTAAAACGACAAAATAAAAAAGATGAAAGGTATTAATAACAATTAAATCCTATATTCCTGCTGCGTTTAATAATTTCGGATCTATGTACATATGTATTTCAATAATAAATAGTTATATATTATAATGTGGTAATAGAACAAACTGCCCAAGTGAACTCACATAGTACGAAATCTACTATAGTAGTAGATGTTATACTATATTTGAATTTTCTATATTCAAATTATATAATATATTAAAAATTGGCCGTAAGATCTTATTAGTATTATTAGGATTATTAATTTAGACAATTAAATTCAAAGTAAGGAAAACGAACTAGTAGAAATTTCGTCAAATTATAGAAAACTTAAGAATGCAATATTAAATTTCGAAAATCTGGTGAAAATTGAAAACTTCAAAGCTAGTAGATTTTCAAAACTAAGCATTTATGAAAAGAACCTGTTTTAGAATCTATTTTACTAGTGTCAGAAGATGAAATTCTCATTCACATTAGAAGAAATTTGAAATTTGTTTCAAATTTGAAACTGCAATATTTTAAATAGCATCTGACATTTTAAAAATTAGACTCAATAACTAAGAGAATATATTTAAAATCATGAATATTTAGAGTTAGATTATTAATAAAATTTTATTTCTCTAATTTATTAAATTATTGGTAAAAATTCTTATATGTCTAGGCTCGCTAAAATCCCGAATTCATTTTATGTTTTAATTCCTCAGTATGAGTTTTAAGTCGAATTTTAAATTTAAATTCAAATTTTCAGAACGATTTTATATCAGAACAAGATTCAGAACCGTTTTGTCTTATATTAAATAGCTATTTTTTCCCAGAAATTCAATATTCATTTTACATTGTGTAATACAATTGTGTAATACAATAGTTATTCAATAAAAGAGCAAATCATGCATCTCTTAATATTTTCAAAAATAATTAAAAATTTTTAAATTCCTTAAATTGTTGCCATTTATGATAAAAAAAATTGTTGATAAAAATATGCACTAATTTCTTTTGAATATTTTATTTCAGAAATTTATAAAATAATTTTTGTTATACAAAGTTATCTCAAATATTTTCTTACAATATAAAGATGACCAGCTAACAAGAAAAAAAAATATTTAAAAATTATTTTTTTTTAAAAGTTTGTGATGTAGTTTTAAAAGCTTGAAATTTTAATATAAAATATTTTGCAAGTTTTTAAAAATTTTAGACGTAATTTTAGACAAAAAAAAAAAGACACTCCAGAAACAACTAAAAAATAAAGCGAGTAAACAAAAAAAAAAACCAGACAAAATATCAATCTTTTTTCACGCTTCTTTAGTTACGATCATTCTTCATCTTCCTTTTAATACTTTTTTTTTCCAACTATAATAAAAAAATAAAAGTTAAATTTTCGTTGTACAAGACCTGTAATACATAGGTACTTAAAGAAAAAAAAACTGAGTTTTTTAGAACAAAAAAGAAAAACAAGGCGAACAAAAAAAAGCCTCGTCAACTGTTCATTATAAAAAAAAATATAAACGAGCAAAATTTTTAAATTGCGCTTCACTCTTTATAAACATTAAAAAAATGGTAGTAAATAATTTCAGTTATATTAACTTAATGTATACATTTTTGTATTCTAGCTTATTATATTTCAAGTAGTGTATAAATAATAATGTATGCATAAACCTATTTATGTATATATATACTCTATGTATACTCGTACATGCATGTAAGTTTTCTTAAAACTCTTCATTTAAAATAGACTGAGGCATAATTGCCTTTTAATAATTCTCTGATATCCAAATTACGGGAATACTGCATATACTTATGTCCATATACAACTTATAGTTTATTAAAGGCTTAATTTGAAGGCTTATTGTTGAATTATGTAAGAACAGGGAAACTTCAATATAGGAGTAATACGGACTCGATACTAAAGCACTTTATTTAGCTTACGAGTTTTTGAAATGAAAAATATAGCATTAAGTGCACTGGGTTTTAAACAATGAATTGTTTTTCAAAATAGAGTTCAAATGTCTACTTGGCTTATTCCAGAAAACCATATTTTCGTTAACGAATAAAATGGATTGCAAAACGATATTTGCATTTAAGTTTAAAATTTACAATATCTTAAAACTTTGATTTGACATTTTTCACGTTTTTTTGCCAATACAATTGATTTAATAAGAGGTTTTGCAAAATATAGAACGCTTTCAACAAGATTCATGTTGAAATTAATTGAATTAATTGATTGATTATTCTAGAATCTATAGATTGAATTAATTGAAGATTCTATTTGAAATTGAGATTGAATTTGGATTAACTTAAAAGCTTCGGGTTTTGATTTATTTGTTTAATGAAATAAAGATTTCATAAAAATTTGAATTATTTTTTTATTATTAATTTTTTTATTATTTCTATATTCATTTTAGGCTATTTTTAGAGATTATATTTACAGTTGCCTAAATGTAGGCAATGTAATGCAGTAATTTGCAAATTTATGATTTTGTATTTTATTTGTAATAATGGGCAATAGTGGCCAAATTCTAGTTAAAATATTATGTTCTTGTTAATAATACATGTTCATATACAAATGCAATTGTTTATGTTTAAAATTGAATAATTCATATTATAGGAGTGGAGTAAATTTTCAAGAACAATATTGCAGTCATAAACTTTAGAATACAAGGATTGCATGCCTTCCCAATTGTAACAAATATAATTTTGATTAAATAACTATGTACGTATACATTATACATGACCCTTTAAAGTCAAGTTGCAGTATTTTTGTAATACGATCAACTCTTGAACAATATCATATCCTAAAACTAGATTTTTATTGACTTTTACAAATTTATTTAATTAATTAAATTAACAAAAAAAAATCAATTAAGAATATCGATACAGCCAGGATTAAATTTGACGCTGAAGTTTAATAAGTTGAATGAAATTTTGGGGCATTTAGCATAGTTTTTCTTTATCCAGTTTGAAACTTCAATACAATTTAATAGGATTAATTTTTTAATTTTAAATGTACAAATAAGCAAGTAATGTAGTCGTTACCTATGCGTTAATCGCATTAAATTTTTCATTTAAAATATTATTATACTATTATAACCAAAATTAAAGTTTAAATGCTTAAATTGTTATTTATAATTAAACAATTTATAAAAGCCAAAATTATGAAAGGTTATAATTTTATTTAAGTATACAAGGACCGACAAAATTAATTTTGTGAATATATTTTTATCAAATTGTCTTTATAAAAATTACACACATATATACATACATAATATACACAATTATTTCTATATCATTATACTTTAACTAAATATGTATGTGCATTGTATATATTATTATACAGATAATTTTTGCACAGGTAGGAATAACTATTTTAATAGATGTACGAATTTTTTTTCTCATACAATTTTTTTTTGTCTGCTTACTACAGGTTTTTCGTTTTATATATATACATATCTTGAATTACTACTCATATACATACGAATTTATAATAAAATTTTAGAATATCGCAATATCTATATGACATATGATAGAAAAGACTCAGATAAACTCTATAAACTCTTTGTATTATAACATATGTTGCTATATATGTAGCTATATATCACAAATTTATTCAATATGGGTTTTGTATTTACGAATACAATAAACATATACAATAAATAAATAGAGAAGTTAATATTGTAGAAAGAGAACTTGGAGAGCGAAAATTATTTTAAAATCAAAAGTTAAATTCTGTATAGTTTAAAAATTATCACAGGTGCATTGAACAAAATAAAAAAAAAAAAAATAAAAATTGAGATACTTATGTATTGAACATTTTATCAGTGCAGGTAACAATGATTATTTTAACAAACGCCAGACACATGTTTCATATTTAAGTTATAGTTCAAATTTTTTTTTAATTTATTAGAGAAATAGTGCACATTCCGGTTGTGTTATGTACTCAAATTACTTTTCATATAATGAGAATTTCTCCTATTAATTATAAAGGCTTAATAATTATAAAATATCTACTTTTAATTTCGTTCAAATAACGACAACATCTAATGAAATCGGGCCATCTTTTTCTCAATAATTATTTTCCAAATTTTTTATTGTGTAGTTTGTTCTTATTTTCAAAATAAAATAATTTATTTTTTAATATTGATCCAATTTGTTTACACTGTGCATATGTATATACTATATGAAATCAGTTATTTTTTTATATTTTTACTTGTTTTAGATTAATTTTCGTAAACAATAATTTTTTACGCCCCTTAAAATTGGAAATTAAATTTTGAATACACATACATATAGGTATAACTATAGGAGTTTTTGATAATGCAATTTGAGTGTGCATTCCTAACTGAGAATTTACATAAATAACTTTCAACTGTAAGATTGTTGTAAAGTTTAATTTAATTTACAGCTTCAGGTACTGTAGCATTACAGTAACTGTACTATTTAAAAATGCTGAAAATGTATTTGTGTAATGGTAATCTGTTAATAAATGCCAATTTGCATATTCTATGCTTTATGATTATCCCAATTACCACCTAATTGAATAATAATAAATATGTTGACAAAAAATTTAGAATTAAGTAAAAATAGAATTACTGTATGAAGTGTCAGTCTGCTATGTGTATAGTGAACCTTATATTAAATTAATGTTATTATTTATTAGTTAACTCATTTGAAAATGAAGCCTATAATTAAGTGTTGAAGGAACTCCTTTATTTTAATTTAAATAAAACTGAAAAAGGAAACACTTTAATTTACCAATACAAAAGACGGCGAACTATTGTTAAAGTAATAACTAATAACTATATGGTTAATAAACCAGTTACGAAATTAAATATCTCTTAACACCACTGAATTCTATGATCAGTTTTGTTTTTTCTTTTTTATAATTTTCGTTTTATTTTCATTATTATTATTATCGTTTATGTTTTGTTTTATTTTTTTTGCTTTTCATCCCAGACCAGACATAAAGTTAGGCTTCAGCGATCAGCTTCTGCAATATTTAGACTGAAGTTAAGATTTAGTTCTTAAAATGACGCAGTAAATTTATGTTGTGTTGTTATGTTGTGTGCACAAAAAAAAAAAAATAACTGTGTATGACTAAATAGTGTTAACGCTAAGTATAATTTTAAGTATAGTATATGTAAGTGAATCTGTGTGAAGACGAAAAAAGAAGTGATTTTTTTTTTTATTTTTTTAATTTTCATTTTCATTTTTGTTCCGATCGAGCTTAGTTTTCTCATTAAAATGAAAAAAAAAAGAACTCGTTGTATAGTTTAAATTTTTTTTGTGTTTCCTTCTATTTGCTTTTGATTCTCGCTCGGTTTTAGACTTAAAAATTTTTAAAGTGCGGTTTAATTTTTTTTTTTTATAATAACATTTTCGCTTAATTCTTTTCTTTAAAAAACAATAAACGAGTTTCAAGTTATTGCTTTTTTTTGTTTCATTTATTTATTTACGATATATATACGGTATTTATACATACATATGTGTATGTTAGATATAATATAATATTTACATTTACGTTTTTTTAATTTAAATTTTTAAAATTTTGTTAAGAGTTTTTTTTTTTTAAAGAGGCTTGTTTTTTTAATTTGTTTAAAAGAAAAGAAGTTTTAACAAATTATTTTTTAAAAAAATACATGAAAAATATAATTGAAAATTAAAATAAGAAAACAAAGAAAAAGAAAAGAAAATGAAACAAATTATTTTATAGGTAGTCAAAGTCCAACATTTATGTTTGAATTGCATTTTATGGTTTGTTTAAAAGAACAGTTATGAAAAGAAAGTTATAATTCAAAGAATCACAAAAGTAATAAATTATATAAAGAGAAGTAAAAAGAGTAAATTAAAATTAAAAAAAAAAAAATAAATATTGTACACATACACGAATATACATACAAACATATGTTTGTAAGACACAACAATAAAAATAGTATGTAGAAATGTAGAGATAAATGATAAAACAAATTAAATATCAAAAAGTTAGTGACAACCTACCACCATCCGAAAATAAAGAAAATTTATGTTAAAAAATCTTTATGTTTTTTTTGTGTTTTTTAATTAAAGAAAACCGTCAAAAAAGAGAAAATCATAACAAAAAAAAAAAATGAAAGATGTGTAAAAGCGGTAAAGTGGCCAAATTTAATTTTGCTGTTTTTTCTTTTCTTTTTTTTTTTAATTCATTGATAAATAAATAAACAAATAAAAACGCAAAAAAAAAAAAATATTAATTAAAGCGAAAAAAAATTGTATAAAAAATTAAACGAAAAAGAAATACGAAGAAAAAAAATGTCTTTTATCAATTATGCAATACAAGATATTCAACATAACAGTAACAGTATAAGTAGTAGTAATAGTAACAGCAGCAGTAATAATAACAGTAATTGTACAACAAAACGAGATAATCGACCTAAAAGTGGTCTAAGTTTTAGTGTTTCTGGTAAAGAAAAAAAAAAATATTTTTTTGTTTTTTTTTGCATTTTATTTCTATAATTTGTTTTTATGCAGTTCTATTTATTTTTTTATTATGAATATTATTTTGCAATTTATTTTTTCTTTAATAGAACAATATGTTCTTGATTTTTATTATAAAATAATGTATGTAATCATGAATGTTATGTGATGAAATCCATATAATGAAAGATAAATAATGATTGAGTGTTCATAATAATTATAAGCGTTTTTCATAAACGTAAGTATGTTGCGTATATGTGCAAGAATTGCGTTATATACTTGTGTTCATAAAAGAAAAATGTTGCTAATCTAATTTGTTCATCAACATTGATAATTTTTCGGAATATAGCGAAATTAGTATGATATAGCGCATATATTTATATATTAAATCATATGAACTGTTTTAGTTTTATAAAAGAGTTAAAAATATATTGGATATTTATTACATGAATGTTTAGTTGCAATACTGCAAGCGTCTCGTAGTTATTATTTTTCACTATTGCGTTTATGAAAATTTCTTATGATATGTACAAATTGAGTATTGTGCTAATTTTTATACCTATGTAAATGCATTCTAATATATGTATATTTCAAAAGGCATATTTTGAGCTTACAGCCTAATCGTGTTTCTCACTTTTACTCACTTTCAAATCGAGAATTGTCCTTTTTTCTAATGAATATTTTATTTTTCCACTAAGACTACTCATTTGGAGTTTTGCTTTTTGTTTTTAAAATTCATTGATTGAACCTATCACTCTTAAAAATAAAATGAATAAATAAAGATTAAATTTTGTATGCACTTTAGAAAATACGAGATGCGGAATATGGAAAAATTCTTCTCACTCGAAAATTACTTTTATATAAATATATGATAGTCGCTCACTTTCACACTTGGCGAATGAAATAACAAAATACACAATCACATCCTTATAGTCATTTTTTTTGGAAGAAAATTGAAATATTCTCCTGGGTATTGATTTTTGCAAATGTATGAGAAAGTCGGTTGTTAAGTTGAACATTTGTATAATACAAGAGAGACACAATTCTGAACGGTTGTTTTAAATTTTTCTAAGTCATGGAAAAAGAAATTGATATAAATTAACATTTGCAGTACTGTATTTCAAATAATTCAATAACTCCTAAAACAGAACAGGTGTGAAAATACTAAATATCCATATACCAAATTGGAGGTCAGGAGACAAGGTTGCCAGCTGTTTTAAAATTGGAGAATGCTCCAATGTTTCGTCGTTATTTTTGAAAACGAAAAGTTAAAATTTCAAATTTTTCCAAGTTTAAAGTCTTGTGATTCCAAACTCTGAACAGATTATAGCTAATACAGATATTCATAAGAAAGCTGTTATTCTGTAGTTTTTAAATATTTAATAATTCACCTGTTTTACACGGGCACTGAGTTAATTTTATTACACGGGCACTGATACTTAAAATTTCAGAAAGTAAAAAAGTCAATCGAAATTGACTTTAAGCCGCTGTAATTCCGAACCTGTTGAGCTGTGAACATCGTCTCCATACAAAAGTTTTGTCTTCCCATGAGGGCCTATATACAATGGTATATTGCAGTACACTTTGATACGAGAAGCACTCTGTATACTTACATATTATGTGCTATATGGATACATGTTTAAATATTGAAATGGTACTGAAAAACGTGATGCATTTATCCGAAATATTTTCAATACAATAGAGATATATATTTTAAAATTTTACTATATACAATTTTCTAAAACATAATTGTGTTGTTGTATGCATATTGTGTACCCTAATATTCAATACAATATCTTATTGAGTTATTTTATAATAATTAAATTAAATATAGTTATTATGAGCATGTAAATGGATAGGTTGTAATTACGAACAAATTAACTTATATTTGCATACTATTTCTATTTACCATATATTAAATTGCCTTGTACATATACCTGTGTTATTTGTTTAAATATATAAAATAAAATATATGTATAATAATGTTGCGCACGTAATATAATGAAATATCCAGTATTTAATTGCATATTTACTTTTTAATAAATGATATTTGTTTAAATTTTATCCACCTTACCTCCTAAGAAGGCTATATACAATTTAGTCTATTATAATTTAAATATGTAGTATGTAATTAATATATAATTTTAAGAATTATTAGTTGTTGTCTACATTTTGTCTAATATTATATAAGGTGTGTCTATTTTTCATGAATTATATAAATATTCAATTTGTATTAATAACATTTATTTTGTTGTTGTTTTAAATAGTTAGCAGTTTTACACTTAATTTTTTCTATTTTAATTACTTTAATTTTTTATCGCTGATATTTTAAACACTAATAATTTAAATTGCATATGCGAAAGAACGAACTTGCATTTATTTTAGTATGAATATTTTAAGATTATTTTCTATATGAAATTTATAGTGAAATTGAATTTTGTTATAATTTATAAAATGTAAGAAAAGTAAGTTATAAAGTGGAAAAATAAAATTTAAATACTACGAGTAAAAATGAGTCCATTAAACTCACTATTTATTTTTTAAATCTGAATTTCAGTTTTTACATAAACGCTCAAAAAATTTTTTTTGGAACATTTAGAAATTTGAAAAATTTTTTGTTCTAAATTTAAAATGTGCCCAATTTTCGTATTTGACTTTTACCATTTTCGTCTAATTTTTTATACCCTGCACTTCGTGAAGGGTATATTAACTTTGGTATGGAGTTTGTAACTACTTGAAGGAGTCATCTGCGGTATGGACATATATATATATTCTTGCTCAGCGTAAAATTCTGCGTTGATTTAGACATGTCCGTCCGTCCGTCCGTCCGTCCGTCCGATCGCACGATAACTCAAAAACGAATAATGCAATCGACACCAAACTTTCACAAGTTGCTTCTTTTGTGCCAAGGACGAACCCTATTGTTATTGGACCAATTCGGACAACGGGTTCGGGCAGCTGCCATACAACTCAAAGAGTTTATTTTAATTATTTCAAAAACTAATAAAGTTACAAATATAAAATTTTGTATACATATGTCCAATTATATTCTACATATGCTCTAAAAATTTTAATGAGATAGCTGCACCGGTTCGGGTGGCTGCCATACAACTCCAAAAGCAAATTTTTTATATTCGGCAAAATAATAAAGTCAGATTCATGAAACTTGGCAGTCGTGTGTCCAATTATGGGTCAAAGATATTTCTGAAGTTTTGGTGGAATTGCTTGACAGGTTCGAGTGGCTCCCATATAAGTCCAAAACCTTATTTTAAATATTTGAAAAAATAATAAAGTCAGATTCATGAAACTTGGCACTTGTGTGTCCAATTATAGGTCAAAGATATTTCTGAAGCTTTGGTGGAATTGCTTGACAGGTTCGAGTAGCTCCCATACAAGTCCAAAAGCGCACTTTAAATATTTGAAAAAATAAAAAAGTTAGATTCATGAAACTTGGCAGTTGTGTGTCCAATTATAGATCAGATATATTAGCGAAGTTTTAGTGGAATTGCTTGGCAGGTTCGAGTATCTGCCATACAAATATAAAAGCTAATTTTAAATATTTGGAAAAATAATAAAGTCAGATTCATGAAACTTGGTAGTTGTGTGTTTAGTTATAGGTCAGACATATCCGTGAAGTTTCTATAGAATGGTTTCACAGGTTTGAGTAATTGCTATACAACAATGAAAGGTGCAGGGTATAATTCAATCGGTTCATACCGACTGAAACGTTTTTACTTGTTTAATTCTTACTTTATGGCTTAGTTTAAATTTTATTTAGTCAAAAATTGTCATAGTGTGCATATTTTTAATTGTTGAAATAATTATTAAAAAATTATTAAAAAATAAAGTTTATACATTAAGTACAGAAAGTGTACATTGTTACAAAAATTCTAAAATTTTTTGAATAATGACAATAAAAAAAAACTATTTAGGTTCACAAATTGGGTGAGATAACATCTTCTTGTTTGATAATTTGAATGCTGTAACTTTATCTGCCAGATTGTTATGTTTTAAAGGTTTTTGTTGTCTAACTTTTAACAAACAAGATTTTGTTAAATTGAGATTACAAGATTAAGTCAAAATATAAATTGTATTCATAATGATATGTACAAGATGAGTGATAGAATAAAAAATATTTAATTTAGTTTGTAGAAAATAATGAATAATTATGATAAGCCAATAGGTTTCCTTTTCAATTAGTTTTATTGATATCTATCTAATTTATTTTTAAATTCATAACTGCAGTGTTTCGCAGTAGCTCAATTAAGTTCTTATAAATTTTTGTATTGCATATTTATAGGAAACTACTTGAATTCTTTATACTCATTTTACTTTCGGTTTATTCAATTACAATACTATGTACAACATATACACAATTCTATGTGCGAACATGCATAAATTTTACGGTACGCACAGTTGAATGTAAGTACGCTACAGCAGCATGTAGTACTTCACAGTTAAATGTAAACATGCAATAGCAGCATGTAGTCCTCAACAATTCAACAAATTGCTAAGCAAATTTTTTATAAATATAACTCTGTTTTGAACTTCACTCATAAAGATTTTTGATACTTGTATTCCAGTAAGTAATCAACTTACTGGATCAAACTAAATTAAAATAAAACAAAAAATTATTCAAAAAAGCATTGTGATTGTCCATTAAATTAATCATGTAATCTTTCATCTTTTCATATATTAAATAAAGGATGGTTAATTTTGACAACCAAATTTATGCAATTTTATACTTTAAAAGATTATTGCCTTAAGCTTTTTCTGTTGCAAGTGAAAGTTATATGAATAAAATCAACTGTCTTTTTTTTGAATTACATATGGTAATGTAAAAATGATTTGGTTTAAATTGCTTTAAAAAGTTAATTTTTGATAGTTTTTTTTTTTTTGAAAATCTGTAAACAAAAATAAAATTGAGATCATAGTACAAGTTCTTTGATTTTGACATATTAAAAACAATATCTTATACATAAATAC